AAACATAGATTTCATAAATTTAGATACTTCATCTAAGGGAAACTGTTTAAAGATGTTTGGCACACAAGTAGGTATGTAAAGCAATCTCTATAAAATGAAGTCAAATATTTTTACAGTTTTAATTATTCAAAGGTAACTATCCCGCTGCAGCATTACAAAACGCTACATTATGTATAAGGGGACTCCTTTCCGTAGTCGCGTTCTGTGATAATTTGATTACGTATGCATTAAGTGCATTTCCATTTCCCTATGGGGCGTGCGTCTGAGATCTCTTTTAAATCAGACGTTACTCCTAACGGCCTGTCTCGACTGTTTGATTCCGCGGAGTCGCAACCTGAATTCTAATGTGCTGTTTTCCACACATTTCAGAAGTGTTTAAGCGTTAACTTTTAGATGTATTAAGTTCTTATTCGAAATGTGTATAATGTCTTTTAAATTGGATCTTATAAAGATATCAACCTGTTGTTGTTCTTACTGGTCGGCATATGTATGTACTGCTCTTCCATTCAAGTCTCAGTTTTCATAAATTCACTAACATCTTAAGCCTATTTCATACAATCCATACATATTTTTTCTTTCTTTACATTTGTAGCCATCCATTCAATCATAATACTTTCGCGATTATGTGAATAAAGAACACAATAAAGCGTGGGTCAAAGGAAAACTTTTCGACTGCGTGGTTAACCTCAAAAATGGTCTATTTCATATAGTACTAGCTGATCCCGAGCGGCTTCATCCGCATGAAATTATGAAAATCTTATTTTATTGTTTACATTTGTCAAACTATTAATAGCAAATGTCAGAATGACATGACATGACAAACCTTAGCAATCTTTCTTTCTTGATGTTGGCAGCATTTTATAGTCTCTTTCCCACATTGGGGTTTTTATCCAAAATATTTACCCCCTAAGTTTAATGGCGTGAAAATATATAGCCTAAAGCGTGACGTAAGTGTAGGGCTTTTTATTAAAAAAAGAATTATTCAAAAGTATGCTGAAATTGTTGACATCTTTAGCAACAAAGAAGTGTCTGTTTACGCTTTATTATAATAGTATAGATAATAATCAATAAGAACAAAGAACACCTTGTATAAAGTGTGATTTGAAATAGTGTACGAATTATATTCCATCATTTAGTTATTAACATATAATTTGCATTCTAGCTCACTATGCCCGGAGACGCTGCGATTATACCTCGTGCATTGCATTTCCTACGAGCTCGAACATTGACTTCTCTTTGATTAAAATACGAATCAGCAATTGTCGTGCTCTAACTAAATTCATACAAATGTATGTGTGTATAACACCAAAGACATAAGAAATATATAGACTAGACATAGGGAAGAAAATCTTTTCACCGGTAATTTCTCTATTAGGTAAGACAGTTGTCAAGTTTAGTATGCCGCAGTGTATTATCATTTTACAAAATTGTAATAAGCGCCATCTTTTGTTATACAATAAATATTGTCACAAAATGAAATATAAACTTTAAAGTATTATTTAACTGCACCTATTGACAATTAAATTAAATTCAATTTAATTAATTATATTGACATGTAGTTTCGAGTCTGTAAATGCTTTGAGGCAAATGTCTAGAGTGACGTGTCAACTCTGCCTTTTCTATGTATTTTTAAATCTCTTTAACATAGACTCAATTTGAAGCGAACGATTTTGCTAAGGATACCATTGATATTTTCACAAAAGTTTATTGATGTACATTTAATTGGTTCATGGTTATTTTCGTCGTTTTATTACACAGTATTATAAATCTTTGTTGATCAAGAATCGTAAATCTTACTTACTAATATTATAAAAGCGAAAGTTTAAATGTATGGATGGATAGATGTTTGTTAGAGTTTGTAGCCTAAACGGCTAAACGGATCTGGATGAAATTTGGTATAGATGTAGAGGATAGTCTGAAAGAACGCATAGGCTACTCACTTTTGTTTTTTTTTTATTTCCACGCGGACGG